TGAAGACTGGAAAAATATTGCCTGGTCTGATGAGTCTCGATTTCTGTTCAGACATTCAGATGGTAGAGTCAGAATTTGGCGTAAACAGAATGAGAACATGGATCCATCATGCCTTGTTACCACTGTGCAGGCTGGTGGTGGTGGTGTAATGGTGTGGGGGATGTTTTCTTGGCACACTTTAGGCCCCTTAGTGCCAATTGGGCATCGTTTAAATGCCACGGCCTACCTGAGCATTGTTTCTGACCATGTCCATCCCTTTATGGCCACCATGTACCCATCCTCTGATGTCTACTTCCAGCGGGATAATGCACCATGTCACAAAGCTCGAATCATTTCAAATTGGTTTCTTGAACATGACAATGAGTTCACTGTACTAAAATGGCCCCCACAGTCACCAGATCTCAACCCAATAGAGCATCTTTGGGATGTGGTGGAACGGGAGCTTCGTGCCCTGGATGTGCATCCCATAAATCTCCATCAACTGCAAGATGCTATTCTATCAATATAGGCCAACATTTCTAAAGAATGCTTTCAGCACCTTGTTGAATCAATGCCACGTAGAATTAAGGCAGTTCTGAAGGCGAAAGGGGGTCAAACACAGTATTAGTATGGTGTTCCTAATAATTCTTTAGGTGAGTGTACTTCTTTTGTCACATGTTGTTTGCAGTTTGATATACTGAGATGCACATGCACGACACGACCAGCAGAGGCCGTTGCGGTTTCATAAATATCAATGGCTCTTTCTACAGATGGAGAACACAGCTCTGAAACTGTCTACAAAATGATTGATCAAATGATTATTTCAACAACTGATCAGTAAAAGGAGGCGTTTAACCTTTGAGAAATGCATATCATCAGCTTCAAAGGGTCAAACTTCATTTTATGAGCTATATTTTCTTTTCTTTTCTTTATTTTATTAGTTTGCAACCATGTTTTTTTAAATGCAGTATTATACCTTGATTTATTATTTTCTACCAATAAAGACTAGATAAACATCAAAATTCAGATTTAGTCTAAATTAAGCTCATTCAGTCAGAGCTAGTTATTGATAACTTTATAAGAAAAATATTAGATTATAAAAAGTATAAAAAATTGTTGAGCTTGATAAAAAGGCAGTCAACACTTCAATTTGCATAAAAATTAAAATGGAAATGAGATTATTTACTTACTTTCCCTCAGGGTTTAACATTAACTAAAACAAAAGCCATTGTCATTATTTCAGCTAGTGTCCATTTAGCAAGATTTCTCATTTTTGTTGAAGTACTAAACTAACACAAAAAAATACTAAAAACTAAAAGTTAATAAAAACTATACAGACATATATATTTTTTCAAACTATTAAAAATGATTAGAATTACAATAACTTTAACCAAAATGAAATGAAAATGTATATATTAATGAACATTATTATTAGTTCATATAGGCTGTACATATATTTGATGTGTTTAAAACTACCTAAAATTCATGTTAGGCTAATTTTATGTTAGATATTAATTTATATATATAACTAATTTTTTTGCGCATCTGATGCTGCTTATAATCGCTCTGTTTTATCATTATTCTTTTGATTAAGGACTGTGACACTAAAATACATCGGCCTGACACACACTGTCTCTCTTTAACATGTGTAATCCTGGTGTGTTTGGGTCTAGACACACAGCAGCACTCTTGGCCACATTAGTGCTAATTTATTCTTGTTTGGATGCTGTTAAATTGCTCTGACTCACTGCTCTACAGAAGCAGAGGAGTCAATTTTGATGTGGCTGGTGAGATTAATGTGACCTATTTGCATCACGATATGCTTATTTGCCCCAGATTGTTCTTGAGTGCTGAGATAAGTGTCTTTCTGTGATATTTGGATCCTATTACTGAGATATTCAAATGATGAATCAAACAGTTGCATCTGCGCCAATAAGCCTAAAATTAAAGTCTGCATAGAGTGAGTATTTCATGCTTATTGAGCATTTGGGAAGCATTTTCAAAATTCATGCCCAGAGGGAAACCCTTTCTGGCTAGACACTTTTAATTTCAGTGTAACGTCATCTTACACAGACTCAGGTGAAAATGAGGAGGAATCATATGCAGTGACTTTAAATGTACACACATTAACATTGAATAGAGAGCATTGCTGTTTTTTCTCTTTGCAGAATCATAATCTGCTAAATACTTTGATATTTAAAGTCTCAAAAGCTTGTGCATATGAGAATGTGAAGTGAAGATCTACTGTCTCTACTCTCTGAAATATTTGCAATCAAAAGCATTATTTCATTGTTGTGAGGTTTTGGGTCATTTACACAGCGTCTAATCTCTGAATTAAACATCCCGTGTTGGGAATAAGAGTACATTTCCCATTAGGAATGTCCAGTAAACAGCCGTCCCGTGAGACTGAAGTCAACACTTAATGGAAATTTTCTGCTGCCGATTGCACTATACTTTTTTTCTTGACCTTTGTTAACTAACTAAGTTTCTGCTGTGGTTGGTTGTTTTTTTCTTAATGATCAACACTGGATTAATCAGGACCATTTGTCTTATTATGTTCCAGGAAAACTGTCCTCTGTCTCCGTCCAGTTTAATAGGAAAATCTGTTGAATTTCTGTATTGATTGCCTTGGTTTGGTGATGCTTATTCGCTTTAAACTTGTGAATCATTTTGTTTGGCTAAACCAAGTTAAATCTAGACAAAGTGCCAGTGCTGTGATAAAACATTCTCTCAATGCAACACTCTTAGAAGAAAAGCTTCTAGAATCTTAAAGGATTTTGGCAGGCGCTTCATATATAACCTTTAATTCATTTTTTTTAATTCATTATTTTATTAATTAAACAGCACATACTTTATCACTAGAACATTTTTAAATAACCCATTAAACATTAAAGTATTAGAACCTTTTTGGCATAAAGTTTTCTTTAAAATTGAGTCAAGAACCCAAGAGTTCTAAATAGAACCTTTTCTTCTAATTGTGATTGTGAATATTACAGGCTGAGAATAAGAAGAATGCTGCATTACTCCAATCAAATATTGTTTTCTTTATACTTTTAAGATTAAAGTAAGCCTGAAGAAGGTCGATTGACCAAAATGATTTATATTTTCTAAGATTATATTCTTAAAATCTCCCACTGACAATGTTGTAAACTACGTTTATGGAATTATTTAGCCAATCTGAGAAGACATGGAAATGTTCCGGTTTGCTGTCATCTGATTGGCTGATATCACTTTGAAAGTTGAGAAAGTTAACGGATTGAGAACGGCAGGTATTATACACACACTTCCTAGAAAATGGTTGAAATCACTTACTTTGACTTTTTTTAAAAATAAGATATTTTAAAAGAATGTCGGTAACCATGGAAGTCAACTGCTTGGTTACTTTGTTTCTTAAATGAAAAATTGTATGAAGATATTTTGACATTCTTCAAAATATCTTCTTTTGTGTTCAACAGAAGAAAGAAATTCATACAGGTTTGGAACAACTTGAGGGTGAGTAAATGATGACAGAATTTTCATTTTTGGGTGAAAATATCCCTTTAATAATAATAATTAGAACCTTAATGTAAAGAACATTTTAATAATCTAGAGCATTTTTTAGTGCAATGGAAAGGTTCTATGAACGTTAAAGGTTCTTCATGGAACCAATGCCAATAAAGAACCTTTATTTTTAAGAGCGCGCGTCCAGCTCTCTCTCTCTGAATGTAATTTGGGCCTATGGGTGAAGCTAGAATATCCAACCCTATACCCATAACTCTATTCCTCCTCCCATTAGACGTCCCACTGGACGTCATTGACTCTGCAGTGAGCACCGCTTGGGCCAAATCGCCGAAATGGAGTGAAAATGAAAACAAACTCATATTTCCCACTGTAAATATAAATGCATTTTATTTCATTGAGTGGGAACCAGGTTCTTCAAAACGATACCCACACCCGCCACACGATGGATGTATGTGCCCGCGGTTGCGCGCGCTCTCTCGCGCGGCGCCGGTAATGACTCGCTCGCGCTCTCCGCTGCTGCTGATCAGACGCGTTTGCGGCAGACCGCCCAGATCTCCGAGACTCACCGAGCTCTGTTTCAGCTTCTGTGCGGATCACCACGGCTTCATTTCAACGCGTCTACAGCGAGAGAATATCCCGCAGCGACCCGCGTTCATCGGCGTTCGTTTTCTTCCGTCCTTCTCTGGTGATAAACCAGGCGAGCGCGGAAGAGAACGCGCAGTAATGGGAAGATACAGCGTGCTTTCATTAGATTACATTTCCGAAGAATGACCCATCCATCTGTCGATCACGCTTTAGCAGCTCAAACATCCTCCTTCATGCACTGGACGTAGACTTTCGGAGCACAGAAGAGTTGAGCGCGTGTACGGCGCATAAAGCTACAGTTTTTAAAATTTCGGCGTCTCGTCGGTTCGCGGACTCTCTTGACTTGATCTTTGGATGTATTTCTGCAGCTCTTGATGGAGTGGTGTGCACTGTGCCAAACGCACATAGATATCGTGAAGTAGGCTAACCTATGAGGTTGCAATTTTGGGGGTTATCAGCTGAGATGCGTTTGATTTCAGTCACTCAACTTCAGTGTTGCGCGGTTTGGCCACGAGTCTTCATCATCAGCATCATTCGAAAGCAGTTGTGTGGAAGCACGTTGATACTTGCCTTTTAATACAGGGCATTTTAATATGATGCTTTCACTTTTTAAAAGTGCGTTTTGTCAGAAAGCTGTGTGTTTGTAGGGATGTGTTTTGATTAAGACGTTCAGATATGTTGGGTGTGCATGACATTTTAGGCAACTTAAATGCTGCTTAACCTTTTTTTTTATAAAGTAGGTCTCACACGTGAGCATCTTTGCTGTGTTTGCAGGCACTTTGCTCGCCTTTAAATAAAGCATTGATGCATGTTGGCTGTGCATGGCATGGCATGCCATTATTGACTTCTTAAATGCTGCTTTAACTTTAGGTTTATAAACGCCTACTAGTTGAGCACCATTGTCATTTCCATAAAGCAGTGTGTTTGCAGGCACGTTTTATTATGTGTTCATGTGATGACTTTTGGCTGTAGATATCATTGTAGGCTTATGCTTCTTCAATTTCATCTCATCGATGAGCGTCATCGTCTTTAGAAAGCAGTTATTTTGGATGTACGAAACATTTTGTTGCTTTAAGACCTTAAAAGTCTCAATTTGGTCTCTCAGATGAGATTAAAACTGAAACTTAAGGAAACTGCAGTGATGCTGAATGACGCTCTCGCTGTGCGCAAATGTGCTGACGCCACCTGTGGTCTCTTAAATCGATTGATTCAGAAAGATTTAGGCACTTTGACCAGGAGAGAGTTCAGGTTGCACAACAGCCGTGTCGCTCGCGCTTTCTAACCACGAGACAAGAGAAGTTTTGATCGCACATTGTGTGTAGCCCACTGTATAATCGTGCGTGACGTGAAAGTTGAGAGTTTAAATGGTGCTCCGAAAGTTACCCGGTGTCTCAGCATCGGGCATGGGGCTTCGTCTGTCTCAGAAATTCGTCTTTCTGCTGTTCCTGTCAGGGTTGGTAACTCTGTGCTTCGGGGCTCTTTTCTTTCTACCCGACTCCGTGCGTCTGAAGCGCATCTTCCTCTCCAAGAACGAGAGTCCCGCGGTGACCGTAGGCTCCGACAATGAGCTTTCCAAAAAGGTGCCCGTGGATCAAGAGCATCAGCGGACGGGTTTAAAAGGGGTTGAGGCGAATGTCAAACCGAAAGTGAGCCGCAAGCCCTCGGTCACCCATGGAGCGAGAACTGTGGAGAGATCTGTTGGGAGTAGAGCGCAGGACGAGTGGAGTCCGGCGAGGGCGCACGAACCGCCGGCCAGGGACGAGCGGGTCACCTCGGCCGCTCTTAACGCCCAACACGGCACCACTTTCAGCCACGAGACGTTTAAAAAGTGCCTGCTGAAACCAGCTTTGGGGAAGGACCAGGGAAATCCATCTGATTCCGAGACGCTTCAGCGGAGGGAGAAAGTCAAAGAGGTGAGAAAGATGTGTGCATGGATGCCTCTTATTGTGTATGGATGCCCATCTCTGCCACATAAGAATAAAATCATAGAAATCAAGAAAAAATTCCCAGCTTTGGGAAATCATAATCAGACACAGCCATAATTATGGGATAAAAACTCAAAACGATATAAAAATTCGAAATTGAGCTACTAATTGATTCAGATGAAAAGTTAAAATTACAAGTCATTATAATTTATATAAAAGTCATAGAAACTCAACTTTTCATGTCATAACGACTTTATTTCCTAATTTTCACTTTATTTTATAATTATGACTTATGTCATATGATAGTACACTGTTTAAGATTTGAGGTAAAAAACTCAATTTTGTTAACTTGCTGCATTGGAAATTTTCAGTTGGTTCAACTAAAGTGCCAAGGTTAAAAGACCTTTAGTTCACATATTTTCAGTTGGCTCAAATACATTTTTCAATGCATCGAGTCAAAGTAAAATTGCGTTTTGGGCTCAATCTTTTAGTGTATGGGTTGACTTTTTTTTTTAAATCATGACATAATTTTATTATAATTATGATTTACAAATGCATGTTCTTCTATAGTTGTACCTAAAATATTGTAGGTTTGAAACTTGTTGGATTGTGCCTGTAATAAGTATCACTTGGGATAAAAGTGTTTGTTAAATGATAAATTTGTTCTAAATTGCCTTGGATCTGAGGCGAACAGCAGGCATGACTGATATGAAGATGCCTGAAGCTATTGGGGAGTCGGGGCTAGTTGTCACATTTATTCCAGAGAAAGTCAATATAATTTAGTCCGATGAAACATATAGCATATTTCCACTGCTATTGCTAAAGAATAAAAAGATATAGTTAATTGAACACATTGAACTCTATGGTGGGGCATGTTGTCACACTATTGTTCTTGAATATTAAATGCGAAATGAAACTATACATTTATGAAATGCAAAAGAATTCATTAAAATACCAAACCATTGGCCAACAAAACTGCATATAAAAGCGCTTGTGACAACTTTCCCTTAGATATAGCCGATGTGACAAATAGCCCCAGCCTCCCTATGTTTTTCATCCTCATACCATAAGTTAGAATCCATATGAATAGATTATTTACTGACGTGTCACTTTCCTAACTGACACTTATCAGAGAGCGCTCAGGCTTCCTTCTGCTGTGTTTTTGTGCCGGCTGTTTGAAGCTGGTGGTTTGAATCCAGATAAAAGGAACGTTGTCTCGCAGTCAGCTGATATGCTTTGATATGGGGAATACAGACAGTGACTGTGCTATTGTGAAGGATTGTTGTTCATGAATCTGAGTTGGTGAATCAATGATCATTAGAACTCTTTCTGGTGTGCTAGTGAAACTCATTCTGATACAAGAGGTTTCGCTCCCACATGGGGATGAGAAAGACACACACACACACACACACACACACACACACACACACACACACACACACACACACACACACACACACACACACACACACACACACACGTTGTGTTTTCATGTTTTATGGGGACTTTCCATTGACATAATGATTTTTATACTACAAACTGTATATTCTCTCCCCTTACACTAACCCTACCCATCTCAGAAAACTCTGCATTTTTACATTTTCACAAAACATCACTTATAAGCGGTTTTCCTCATAGGGATAAAAAAATGTTTGACAAGGATTTCTGGTACTGCCATCCTTGTGGGGTGGCACACACACACACACACACACACACACACACACACACACACACACACACACACACACACACACACACACACACACACACACACACACACACACACACACACAGACAGGCACATATAGACACACACACACACACACAGACAGGCACATATAGACACACACACACACAGACAGGCACATATAGACACACACACACACACACACACACACAGACAGGCACACACAGACACAGACACACACACACACACACACACACACACACACACACACACACACACACACACACACACACACACACACACACACACACACACACACACAGACAGGCACACACAGACACACACACACACACACACACACACACACACACACACACACACACACACACACACACACACACACACACACACACACACACACACACACACACACACACACACACACAGAGACAGGCACATATAGACACACACACACACACACACACACACACACACACACAGAGACAGGCACATCTATACACACACACACACACACACACACACAGAGACAGGCACATCTATACACACACACACACACAGACAGGCACACACACACACACACACACACAGAGACAGGCACATACACACACACACACACACACACACAGAGACAGACAGACACACACACACACACACACACACACACACACACACACACAGAGAGACAGGCACACACACACACAACACACACACTTTCACTTTTTCACACTTTGTTCTTGTTGTTTTGGGATATTCTTTAGAATCTCATCTTTATGTTTGAGGGAAGGAAAAGTCATTGGGGTTTAAAACCACATGAAGGAGAGAAACTGATGAGAGCGTTCTCATTTTGGGGTGAGTTTGTCCTTTAAATGCCGAGTGACAGAACTGTGTGTTCAGGTTCATAATGTTTCACTACAGGTCTAGCGTAAGGTCCAGCTTGCTGACAACATATTGATTTCTCTAACTTACCGAAGTCTTTTTTTTCTCAGACTTTGTGAAATTAATAACTGTAGAAACAAAGAATGTTTGCAGAGGGCAGTGAGTGTATTGAAATGAGTGTTATAGCTGCGATTCTGCTTTGAATGTTCTATAGTTATATCATATTTCACAGTGTCAGAAGCGCTGGATGGTTTCCAGACCTGCGGGGTATTTATAAAACACTGTGGTGGCAAAGCCCGTGTTTTTACCGTGCTTTAGGTAGGAGTCGGAAATGAGGAAAAAAAGCAAAATCAGGCAACAAAACAAATCATTTTTCGTGCATGCCGTTTCATTAAACTTTAAAGTCGATGTGAAACATTGTTCACACAACCCATCTCACTTCTGTCATGTTTCCGAGTCAAACCGGATTTTCAAAGACACACGCGGGCGTTGCATAGAGTCAGGAAGAAGTTGAGAATCAGCGAATAAGGAAAGATGTTTTGGAAGTTATATTTGGATGTACAAAACATTGTGTAATGAATCATTCATAAAAAGCCCAGGATTTGTGTTTAGTTAAGTTCTTGTCTGTTTGTGGACTGATGTATATTAACCTGCACTGACCTACTTGCATGTGATTTCAGTGATTCATGGAGGCTTTATTCTGTTGCTGTTAAAGCCTCATGCTGAATTAAGTATTTACGAACGCGGAGCGTTTGCACGGATGCCTCTGGCTTCCCTCTGTGCCGCCTCCTGTCAGAACCATGCATATTCATATCCGACCTAATCATGATAAACAGCTCCATTAAATAATAATCTGGCAGACGAGTCTTCTGAAGATCAGCTCTGAATCTAGAGAATCACTGTTGATTCTGCCTTTTGAGACCATGGTGTCTTCTCTGGTATCATTACATCACTGTTGTGTAAGTGTACAACACATTAGGTCATCCGTTTCTTAGCTTTTTGGCCAAGTTGGGAAAATAGAAGTAATGGAAAGGACTGTTTACAGCTCAGATCTTGTTAGCAGTCCTGGAAAACAGTTCAAACACTTTAAGTTGTAAATACTATGAAGATTATTGTTGTACGTTTTACAAGAAAATACTATTTCAGTCTTTCTGCCTCAAACTTTCACGTTTAATTAGATGTCAAATTTAGTAGCAATTTCTGGAATTGTTTCTACACCATTTTTTTTTTTTTTAGTGTACTAAAGCTTTGCTTATCAACCAAAGTTGACTTGCAGCATCTCAATCTGATTGGCCGATATTATTGCATTTGCATTCAGCAGGAGTTCAGCGCTGTGTGCTTTTGGCTTCATGGGCTTAAAAACAAGAAGTGACTTTACATATGTTCTCCTCGACCATTGGTTGTTTAGGTGTTGCATCAACTGTGACTGTGCAAGGCAAATATTGAACTTCTAGCTTCACTGGTCCAAGATGCAGTTTATCCTGGCTCAGGACCGTCCTGAAGGACAGCAGTGGATGGTCTGATTGACGTGATGCGACCAACTAACTACTATTCGCTTCTGTTGTGGGGCGTTCATGGGCCGGCTAATGTGAAACCGGGTTTAACTAGTCAAATGAAACACTTTTTGAAACTCAAATAATGTTGATAGTAGTGCTTGGAAGCTTCGTTGTGGCAGTTTGGATACTTGGAAAAAGTTCACATTTCAACTCAGAATTAAAAGAAGAAAAACAAGAAAATAAAGCCTATATTAAGACCTTTGATTGTTTTAATATCAAAGCTTATTTTGTATAAATCAAACATAAATGAGCAAATTTTTATTAACTAACATTAACAAAGATAAAAAAATAGAGTTAACAAACCGAAACCTTTTTGTAAAGTGTTAACCGTAAATCAATGCTTATTTGCATAAATAATAACAATATATTTTGCATAAAGAAATTGAATGTTATTTTAGGGCCACTATGATTTATTTATTTTTGCATTGACAATTAATTGTAATATCAGTGATGCATAAATCATTGCTTGCTTTGTGTTAACATAAATCAATGCTTATTTTGCATAAATATCAGCCATATATTTCCATAAAGAAAATGACGTCTGTTTTAGGACCATTATGATGTTTTGCATTGTGGTGCTAATTTTAATATCAATGCTTGTTTTGCATAATCAAATCAATACTTATCAATGCTTATTTTGCATAAATAGCAACATATTTTGCATTAAGAAAATAAAGCCTTTTTTAGGACCAGAAGGATTTTTTTTTGTAGCATTTGATTATTGCAGAAAATAAAAAAATGATCTTCACAAATGAACAACTTTTATGAATTTTGAAGCATAAAGACAATCGGCTAAACGAACTACACCATGGTCACATGACTTCAACGTCACCATCAGTGAGCTTCAG